TATTTATCAATTAAATTATTAGCTTTTTATTTTATAAATTAGAATTATTATTGATTTTTGAAATGATTCAAAATGAGTGATCGAGATTATGCACATAGCAGGGATATGCACATAGTAGGGATATCGGTTAATTCGACCTATCAGAGACTACCTTCCCAATTTAAACTAGCTCAGTCCAAGGTCTGTAACTGGGAAGTTATGATGATATCATTTTCGAGGAAACAATTCGCAGCCAAAGTTGCTCGCGTGGAATTGAAATTTATTGAGCATGTTTATACAAGTTTCGACGTCTGGTTCACAACGATCCACTTGCATTATTTATCGTCCCGACTTTCACTTCATCGATGGAAATGGTATCTTCACCATCTAGGTCCAGAACTTTACTATGCTTCCTAGAACAATGATGATATGAATGGCAACATACGATGGTACAAATTAGACCCGCTATAATTTGAACACATTGGGGTTGCTAGACGATTGGAAGATTTCAAAGAATTGGCACGTACACTATATCTACCTTCATCGATATTAGGAGCCCGATGTGGAATATAATACAGATTCCAGATCAGCGTAATTACCGAAAGTCCAAAAAAATACTTGCTTTAATAACCCAGAAAAAGAGGTTGGAGAGTCTGCGTACATTCTAAGTTTTGGTTATTGTGAATATTCAAGTAGATAGCAAATGTCACGATGGAAGAATGTGCTGTCAAGAACGAACACAACACCACAAGTACTTGGCATGCTTACTGTGAGTAGTTACGCGCCGGGATTCTACACGAAAAAGCAAGCTAGGAAGTCGCGAAAAGAAACTCCCAAGATACAAACTTGAATGAGGGATGGGAGCAGATCATGTTAATGAATTTAGTAGTTGCGAACCTGTGTGTCAAAAGGTGTCACGGAAGCAAGTCTTTACACAACAGCGCTTCCAGTAGAAGATGTGGTGGACAGAGCAATGTATTTTTGATTGCATCCAGACTAAGATAACTTATTAAGTTTCTCATCAGGAGAATCGATCTCGATTGCCTATTTACAGTTGATCAGTGGGCCCTCAAAATCTCATGATAACTGATGTAGACCTTGCTTGGGTCTCAACCATCATACATTGCATATATAGCCTTTACATCGCTTCGTAGCTATTCTTCCTAGATAGTTGGCCACAATACTAGCCTAGAGTAATATGAGTATTTTTGACGGCAAATCCACCTTCATGATAAGAAGATACAAACCTGCGAAGAACTTATCTGTCTTGGACTTCTGTCATTGCCGATTGTCGATTTCGCAAGTAATAACCGGTAATTTCTATAAAAATCAAAGTATCTTATCCTAAGATTGATGAGATGAAACGGATACGGACTATATCTGTTGGTATCACCTCGGTGGTGATTATAACATCTTCATAATAAATATGCTATATATTCATTGATATTGTATCTAATTTATTCTAAATTCTAGAGGTATGAAAACTATATATAATATATGCATATATTAACATTCACATATATATATTCATTTGTATTATAATATTTAGTAATTCTAGAATAATATTATATACTATATCCTTAAGGGATAATATATTTCTATAATATCAATATCGTAGGTCATGAGTTAGTATATTAGTATATAATATAAATAGAATATAATAATAAATAGACTATTATTAGTCTATTATAGAAAGCTAACTCAGATTAACAACTAAAAAGCAATGAAAACATGTGATATTTATAAATCTATATATCGCTATTCATTTTCTTATTCTATATTTAATAAGAAAAAAGCCCTTATTTAAAATATTTATATAATAATTAAATTAATAGATTTATTAAAATATATATTAATTACATTTTGAAAATTAAATCCTTTATAATTTTTAAAATTATATATAAAGAATCAATTATCTTTTAGAATATAAAATCAGGATTTTAAAGACTAAGTTTAATTCTATTTAATTTTGAAATTATATTTTCGAAATTAGATATTCAAACTTATATATCTACCCCCCTCTTTTTTAATTCAAATTAATAAATCTTTCAAATTCTTTATAATTCAATTAAAAAAATTTTAAATTAATGTTAATTAAATCTTAAATGACTTATTATTATTTAAGTTTTTTTTAATTATATTTGAGATTATGCTAATTTTAATTAAAAGTATAAAGAGATTAGCTTATAAGAATATATTTTTAAATATAGAAATTTATATATTTTAAATAACAAATAAGATATTAAATAAATATTGATATATATGAGAAATCTAATTATATTAAAAAAAGTGTTTATTGAATGGAAGATTTTTAATATATTATTTTAATAAAAAATTGATACTCAGATTTAATATAATAAATATTAAATAAAAAAAGAATTCTAACAAAGAAATATCTTTTAGTTAATATTATAATAAATATAAAAAATAGATTACAATATAAGAATCTATTAAAATAATATAATAGATCCTAAATTATTAGAATCTTTATAGATTCAATTAATTGATTTTGTTATTGTTGAATAATATGATTTTAAATAAATAAATTGAAATGAAAATAACTTATTTATTAATAAAACATGTTAATATAATATGAAATTATAATAACACAAACTATTTAATATTCTTAATTAAAGTATAGAAATAAATAATATATAATCTTCTATAAATCTTATAGATTGTAATATTTAAAAAAAGATAAAAAGAATTTTGATATAATTAGTATATTTCATAATAAATACTTAATCATTTAATTTTTTAATATATTTGATATATATATAATTTTTTTTTAATTTTTTTTTTTGGTTTATAAAATTATGCTTTACAAATAAATATATCCTATGTTTTATTTTAAAGAATATTATATAATTAGATTATATTGTTTTGTAATAAATCTTAATGAGGAAATTGAATGAAAAGTAATATAATTTCTATCATATTAGAGATTTGTAATAAAATTATATTTAGAAAATATATTATAGGAAATATAAAAAATATAATAAATAGAAATAAAAGGAATCGTATAATTGAATAAAACAAATATTTAAATAGATTGAAAATAATTATAATAAATATAGAAATCAATTTTATATAATTAATTATGTTTGAAAATAATTATTGTATAATAATAGATATATTAATATTTATTGTTTTATTTTTATACTCAAATCTTTTAGCATTTATTGTCATATTATATATCTATAATAGAAATAAAATTAAATATTTTCTTCTGATTTCTATATTTTGTTTTTATAATAGATTCTTTTTGAAAAATAATATCAAGTCTCCTAATCTATGACTTCGCTGATTAATATTAATATTACCTTGATAGTGATTATAATATCTTTATAATAAATATATTAACGTAGTTTAACACCGAGTGACCTATATCATCGAGTAACCCACTTCAAAATACACTAATATTAAGCTTTTTCTAATATTTATATTTTAATGACCAAATATTATTTTTATATAAAAATAAAAAATTAAATAATAATAAAAAATTAGTTTTTAAAAATCTAGTTTTTATATAAATATTTCTATTATATTTTTAAAAAAATCAAAATTGTTATGATTTTCATTACAAAAAATTTATTTTAATAATAACTTATATATCAATTTGGATATTCCAAAACGAATTAGATTTTTATAATATTTATATAATTAAATATTCTAATTTCAATTTTTAAAAAGTTCTATTAATAAATAAATAAAGTGTATGATTATGTATAGACGAATTTTGTATATATTTTGAAGTGGGCCATTTGATGATATAGGTCACTCGATGTTAAACTATGTTATATATTTATTGATATTATATTTAATCTATTCTAGATTCTAGAACTATGAAAGCTATATGCAATACGTACGTACACTAGTGAGCTAGCGCTCACGTGCGTATATTCACTCGTATCGCAACAGTATCTTGTATTGAAGCTAAAACTTAGCACTTACGCATATCGATTAGATCGGGTTGGATTTCTAGAAGCAAACATCGTGATCTGATTCTGGAGAAAGCGAAAAGTATCTAGGACTCTCGCAATGTCCATCATAACTTATGTCTAATATATGCTGAGCAAAAAGCTACGATGTAGGGGCTGAGGACAGGTATCAGGCAAGAGATTGTTCACATCTTTCAGATAATTGTATTCAATGGACTAAATTGGCTGAATGGGCAGGGAACTACCTTCACGTGAAAGTCGCATATATGGATCATGACCCTTTTCGCAAACAACGTATGTAAATCTAAGGTTTTGATGTCAAGTATGGTTTCTAAAGGCTTTCTGACGACTCGTAGGACAAAAATTATGCTAACTATGATTAATTCTTGCTATTCTATCATTTGAGTCCGAATCTCAGCCTCTAACTGTCACGAATACCTTCGCATATCATCCTTTCTAGGTGTAATGATTCATTGAACAAATCAATTTGATCTGGAACGTCACCCAACTATGCTCTAGACGCCGTTTTAGCCCTTTAAAGTTTGAACGCTCGAAAAAACTATCGCGATGATCTCCGTTGCAGAGCTAATTGCCGAGGTGAGCAATCATCCACGTGGAGCTTAAGGTCCGAATGGCTCTCAGAATAATGTATCCCCTAGAGTATGAAGAGGCGCAATGAACACTCAAGAATTCCTTGGCTCGGCGAATCCTCGTTGCTTTTCGCTTTTCGCGATGCCAGAAGGGATCGTGTTCGAGTTCAGCTACTAATCTTCCTGTTGAGAAAAGATATGTGCTTTGTCAACAGACAATGTGTGATTGTGTTTTCTGGCTAATTGGTAATCTTCAATTCAGAAGATCGTGATCTTGATCTCCGTAAATATGACCATAAACGTTCATCTCTTTTCGCCGGAATGCATAGAATCAATGCTTTAGTGCTGGTGTAACATGCCCGAACTCTTCCATCAGAGCTCTCATGCAAGACAAAGCTATGCGAGTTTATGAGAGGTTTCGAGCTTTGGGACTATACACAGCTCAAGGCTTCAGCTTGTATGGATAAAAAAATTTAATGTCCGATCTTTCTCAATCCGTAGGATATCTCGGATCGTACATCTCATACCCGTATTGTTCATCATCGGTATCGCTTTCTAAACCACCTTCCTTGACTCCAAGGCTTCCGCCTACTGGGATCTTCTCTTCAATGTCTTCATTCGCGGGTGCATCAGCTCCACCCCCGTCAATTGGGGCAAAAGCACTTTTGAACCCCGATTTCTTGAAACCCCCTTTCTTGAAACCTCCAGCAGTAGCTCCAGTACTTGAGCTTGCTTCTCCACCCAATTTTATTGAGATCAAACCAGACTGCGAGTTTGCTTTCGCTTCTGCCTTTCGAGCTTTGCTAGAGGCCATCGGATCGCGTGTCAATTGTCGCATGTCCTTAAGACGTTGTTTATGAGAGTGGTCGTATGAAGAGAGATGAGCCTCATACTCGTTCATTCGAGCGTACCCCTTGCTGCATAGTTCGCCTGTGCATGTAAGAGAATGTATGGAAGGTGGATGGGGCCATAATAACCTACAATAGAAAGATTTGACAGCCTCGCGAGCACTTTCAGTTTTGGGGGCCGGGTTCGTGAAACCACGCTTGAAGATGACATTAGTACTTTAATCAAACAATCAATTTCACGTGAGATAAATTACTGGAGGCATATTTTGTGACGATCGTGAAGGTTTTGTCGTTTTGTGTTGTGTTGTGTGTGTTGTGCTGTGTTGTGTTGTATATTGTAACCTTTTTCTCTCTTGCACCCAATGTCCGTCAAACACACCTCTTACCTGGGTACGGTACTCGATGTTTGTACGTGATACATTACCACGTGATTTGCTAGGAAAATTAAGGTATGATCCAAGCTTTATAACCTTAAATCTATCCGATCCATACATCTTCAACACATTTCACACTGACTGTCTGACTATCTAATTCTTACCTAGTTACAAACTAATAAGTATCCCGAAACTCTTTTTATAATTCATGTTATCATTTTAATGCCTCTTTGATAAATATCGTTTTCTTGATACTGAGATTTCACACACACTTGCCGCAATACGTTGTAAAATATGGAACAACGGCGAGATTCTATCGCTTCTGACGATACTTTTGTTGATCTTCAACAATTAGATCCTTCACCAATAGAATCCCCACTTGACTGGGATGAAAAGCTACCCGAATTGCCTTCATATACCTCGTTTGGAAGATCCTCAACATTAGGACTTAGTGGTTCCGGTCATGGAGCTGTATATTATCGTGAGTGTTATTGATCGTAAACATGTATCATGGCTACGGACTAATGAAATAATGTGATATAGTCACACGTATACAACGTTACTCGTCGTATGCCTTTTCAGTCTTTAGTGCTTTGCATATCACGAACACCTCCATAATACCCCTCATTACTCGCTCGGTACCTGCTTCCGAAAAGTACTTATTGCTGACTCGCCCATACTATCGTAAGTGCTCCTTTGGCTAAGCCTGTATCACTCATCCTATGCTTCACGCAGCCCCACTAACCCCGCAACAGAATCATTCCCTCTCGAGCAATTACTCGTTGGTCTCCCTCTAGCTGCTCACATTACTTCTGGCTTCGTGTTACGTCTCTATCGCCGCCGTGTAGCTGAAAAACGCTACTCCTCCCATCAACCGACCAGTTCTCTTTCATACTTTTCCTTCTTATCACCAAAGTTCTGGCCTTCAATCTCGTTCACCTCTGTTTCAGGCTATATTCTCGCTCCTCTTGTAGCTTCTCACATGTTCGTCAACCGAGTCATTCCTTTGATACATGAAGGAGGATCATCTGGCGTTGGGTTGGGATACGTTGCGCATGGCTTCGTCAAACATCCTGTGATTTCTTGGGCGACGTATGTAGCTTTAGTAGGATTTGGGGCGGGTCACATGGTTTGGGGCACAGCAAAGTGGTTAGGATCGCTACCTAGAGGAACCGAGAGGGAAAGAAGGAGGAGGTGGTGGAGTCTCAATGGTATTGTTGGTCTTGTGAGCCTTATCTGGTATGCCGGTGGGTTGGGGGTCATCGCACGAGGTGGTGCGGAAACTGGTTGGGTCGGCTCTGGATATGACGCTCTTTATCAAAGAATTCCACTACTGGGATAGAATTGGTGCAAAATGCAATCCGGATTCTCGTAGGATTCTGAATCTCTTAGCAGCACAGCGAGGTGTTTGGTTTTAGCCTTTAAAACAAGATTGCAGGAACGGCAGATGGATGTGGTCCTGATGGATAGACGATTTCATGTCATGTATATACTAACATACCGCTCAGTGTAAGACGATCAAGATGAGATCAATTCAATTGGGTAGAACGGAGTCACTTGAACGATGGCAAGACCCTCAAACGGTCCACGTTTTCCTTCCACCTCTTTCACCTTTGTACAAACATATGTTCTCATTGATACGCCCTCTCTTCATTTGTATTAATGCAATCTTACAGTCGTGACCTCACTAATCTGAATCTAAAATAAATGGTTATAAAAATCTGTAGAACACATATCTGTTGTCATTTTGACCACAATAAGAGACTCTACAGCTGAGCAAACGCCTAAGCCTCAAATTTCCTGTTAGATCGTCCCTAAATTGCACGCGCATGTCGACAAGAAGATGTTTTCATTTCAAGCTCAAAAGGGTGTTGTTAAGTGAATATAGACCAAGAACGGCTGGAATAATGTAATATTCACAGTCCAAGTAGTGACAGAAACACCATAGAAGCATACGACACATTGCGGGACTTTCTGGGAATTTTTTCATTAGAACTTGATTTCGTTATTTCGACATAACCTGTTAAATTCTCACAACTATATACAACACGGTAGCAAGTTCCTCTACGTCATTGAAAGGTATAAAGCTACAACATATAAGAAGACGCCTTTACGCCACTTGATGTTGGACCCATTCATCCAGCCATGCTCCCATCCATCCCATTTTCGTTGTTCCCAATAACTCCGTCCATAAGCCAAGCATGAAACCTATGTAAGCACGCCATATTGCGCCCACCAAAAAGCGAACGCCAATCGACTCGCCAAGTATTATTTCTTTAGTCCATGATTTAAGCATACCATCCCTTAACGCCAATATTACTATTGTCTTGTTCTTCTCTATGATCGATCATGGGTTCTTTGATATCAAAGAGGTTGATCATTTCTTGCCAATCTTGCATATCGAGGGATAGGACTGCTTGATGTCTTGCTGTATGGGAAGAACTTCCATTATCTTTTGGATCCCTGACGCCTAAGTACTCTATCAGCTATCATTGTCTTCTTGAGAGGCATGAGAAAACGAACCTATGTATGGGAGCCCATCCGAGTCTATTTCAACTTCTACTTTACCGTCTCGAACCAAGAAGCTCACATAAAACATGTTCTCAATCGTTTGGCCGAAGGAAAATGGATTGATGACAAATTTGAAATATGCAATGCTGCAATTCTCCGATATACCATACTTTTCCCTCAGTGCGACACCTTCTTCTTCAGACATGTCTTCTGTAGTCTCCAGCTCCACAGCATCGAAGGCCTTGGCCTGAACTTCCTTCAATCTGTCTTGAATTTTTGTGCACAAGTAAGTCAGATTTGCATTCTCTGATTTCTCTATATCATCCGCTCTCAAAACCTCGGGTTGTATTTCGTGGAGATTGTTTAGTCTGAGCGGAGCTCTTCGAACAATAGCCCTGCGGGCGCGCTTTTGTAAAGACAGGGGGCCAAGAAGAAAACCAGGCACTGATGGGCGAGCATTGTTCGGTAAACAAGCATTACGCCCGAGATGTTCCCAGTTGAGCATTTCTCCATCGTTGTCGTTGTCGCTGTCATCTTCATCGATGACACCATTCCGGTGACTCCGCTGAGTATTACGTGGTGCATGGTCCTGCGAGCGTTCGCCCCTTCCCATGTATAACTTGATCTTAGAAACAAAGTCATCCACGTCAACTCCGCGCGCAGTGTCACCAGATGTCATTCGCAGCGTCTTCTTCTTGGCTAGATCTGCAGTACTAACAAGCAATCGTGAATCGATTGTTGCATCCGAGGTTTGTTTGACTTTCTCTGATAGCTTATTTGCTTTGAGCAATGTATCCTTGATGCCCGTAGATTCTGCACTAAGATACTCGGCACGGTTATCTTGCAGAGTTCTTGAAAGACCCCTCAAGTCGGACCGAAGCTTTCTTCTCTCTTCGACACTTTGATCTGGATCATACTCCTGTTCCCCCTCGTCGCTATCTTCAACCGCTTCAATTGTGCGCCTTCTTTGGTTGCGTTGCATTGAATGGTCTCCCTCGCCGGTGGTCACAGTGCGCTTTCTCTTGCTGATGGGTGATGGTGCTCTTGGCGGACCCATGGAAACACTTACGGCGCGACCTTTTCCCTTATCGATTACATTTCTTGAAGAGTGGTTTTCTTTATCGGATGAAATAGAAGCGGCTGGAGAAGGAGATAAAGCCATGTTATCGGAAGTCCTTCGTGGATAACTTGGTCCGGGGGATGCTTCGTACAAATCGTCGGCAAAACGAGGGGCAGGGGATTCCGATATCTTTATTCTAGACATGGTGAACTATGGTGAAAGTTTGGCGCAGTCCAGATATTCGTCGAAGTTTTTATGATAAATTGGACGCGAACATTCAGGACTTGGTTGCGATAAGTGAATAGCCTCGCGCGTCCAGATCGCGTTTGATACTTCGTGTTCTCGACCGAAAGTTCCTGATAAGATAAAGAATTACGCTTATCGAGTGATCGAATTTTGCTCGTTAAAACTGAAAAGTAATTTGTCACTGTATTATTTCCATTATGATATCGTACTGTAGGTTCCAGATGAAATGTTCGTAGTCGGAAAGGGAGAGAAGTGAAGAGAAGGACAGTTAAGAGTAATATGGATTGAAAGGGAGGGAGGAGAAGGAGGGTTTGGGGTAGAGGTAGAATAGAAATGGGTGTTGGTGTGGGTGTGGGAGTGGGAGCGGTATACCTAGGTAGTGCCCTTCAATCAAGAAAGAGCAGGTCGCGTCAAGGGAATCTATCAATCTATCATATCATGTGACATGCGACACTACTTCAGTCGATATTCAAGTTCCTCATTGATCCTAATAACAATAATAATAATAAAGAGGGCGAGAGAGATCTTTTTTGGCGGGGCGATGCTAGCGTGATGTGTAAGCGGAATTATAATGTTCCGATAACACTATGTGGAGAAGTGCACAGACATCGTAGAATGGCAGATGGCTCAATGGCACATTTACTTGTGACATTGATGTTACCTCCTGTCATCCCAATTCACCTCATACATAACAATAATAGTAATTCATACGAATAATTCATTGTGTTTATTTCACGGTATCTACAGCTCCTACGATCTCTGTTCTACAGGTTCAAGTACCACGAGCTCATCAATGAAGCAATTAACATTTTAAATTCATCTTTGCTTCCCTTCCAACTCATCTCCTTTCTACCAAACATCCGTGGAACATGGATCATGGAACCCTTCTCCTTTGCAACTTCAGAAGCTCTGGATATTCCAGTAAATATTAGAATGTCAGTCGAATGTTAACACGACATCTCAGCATGCTCGTTTACAATACTGTTTTATGCACACCCACTAAACATCATATATAGCGTCAACCTTGAAGGGGAGCAGACCCCAATTCCATTTTCCACACTCATAAATCGTCCAGACTTGAGACATATTGGCTCCAATTTGAGGTAAGTTGCCTTGGTATAAGTTTCGATATTACATTTCGAATTAGAGTATACTAACACCATTATTCTATTGCAGCCCTCACTCGGATCTTTTTGTCACTGTGCAATTATGGGCTGATTCGAAACCATTAACTGTACCTGTCCAAACAGCCTACAAATCATTCAAAAGTGAGAGAAAGTGAGTGTCGAAGGTCGCTGAAAGACTTGAACGTTGCTGACCGTGGGGAAGATGGAATGAATGGCTCACCTTGCCCATAAACTGTTCAACGATACCTTTGAGCTCTCAACTTGCCATCACAGTATGGGATTTGTCTCCAACGGGAGGTGATGGGGCTCAAGGGCATGCTGTGCCATTTGGTGGGACTACTTTGCGGTTGTTCGACAAAGATAATCAGCTGCAAAAAGGTCGTCAAAAATGTCATTTACATCGTCGCAAGGCTGCAGATGGCCTGGATTCCTCCTCAACGCCCGCAGTCATACCTAATGTGCGTCGTGCTGGAACTAATTCTAAGGAAGAAGCTGAAATGTTAGACAAAGAGGGCGAAGAACTGGACAGGCTGGAGAAGCTATTCAAAAAACATGAGATGGGAGAAATTGCACGTATCGAATGGTTGGATCAATTGGTTTTCAGAGGAGTAGAAAAGCGCGGTCTTCAGGCGTCCAGTACCTCAGTCAAGAACATACAACGCAGAAGAACTCGACAAAAAAGTGTAATTTTGACTCTGGATGGAGCAGAGGAAAAGACTAACGATGCCGACCATGATTTATCAGAGGACCATCCTTCCAAGGATGAAAGATTCACTCTTCATGTAGAGCTGCCCAGATTCGACTTCCCGGTTGTATTTGCCGACCATGAGTACCCGCCGCCACCTATATCTTCGCTACAGAATCTTTCTTCTTCTCAGTCAAACATCATCCTTAAACCTCCCCCGCAAGTTCAATTCGGGCCAGGTATCAATGGCTTCGGGGATCATGATGAGCATGGCTTTGACGGACGCCTTGTAAGAGTCTACGACCCTGAAGTCGGAGCCAGGGATAACCCCGCGGAGAGTAAACATCGTCGCCTGGTTCGAAGTCACAGAACTGGGGTGCTAGATCGTGACCTTAAACCAAATGCCAAAGTCCGAGATGAATTAAACAACATTATCGCATATTCGCCAACACACTTTCTATCACCAGAGGAAAAAGACCTTGTCTGGAAATTCAGGCATCATCTTGCGCGGGACAAAAGGGCCCTCACCAAGTTCATCAAATCTGTAAACTGGAATGACCCAAACGAAGCCCGTGAAGCAGTGGCCATGTTAAGCAAATGGACCGAGATTGACGTTGATGACGCTTTAGAGTTATTGGGGCCAACATTCGAAAATTCTTCCGTGAGAGCTTATGCCGTGGATAGATTACGAAAATCCGACGATGACGAGCTCTTGCTCTATTTGTTGCAACTTGTACAAGCCCTCAAATTCGAGCATATTTCACCCGATTCGACTGAAGATGCGACACAGGATTCTTCCCTTGCACGACTACTTATTTCAAGGGCAACAAATAATTTTCAGCTCGGGAATCTCTTTCACTGGTATCTTATGGTGGAATGCGATGACAAAAGCGAAGATCAAGGGGCTGGCTATCGTAAACTATTTGCCAAGGTCGAATACGATTTCATGACCGAATTGGTAAAGTCGCCTGAAGGAGTTGAGACTCGAAAGGTTCTACTGCGCCAAGCAGAGCTCGTCACGATGTTATCTAGGGTTTCTGAAGATATAAAATCCTCACGGGATACAGTATCTCGCAAGGCCGAGAAGGTAAAGCAATTTCTTGCCGATCCTAAGAATGAACTCATCACTATAGACCCGCCCCTACCTCTACCGCTTGACCCTTCGATTATGATCACTGGCGTGGATCCTTCGGAAACGAATGTTTTTAAGTCATCGTTGTTTCCAATCATGATAACTTTTAAGACGACAACCAAACAAAAATATCAAATAATCTTCAAGACAGGAGACGATTTGCGCCAGGATCAGTTAGTCATTCAGATCATTACACTCATGGACCAACTACTACAAAAAGAAAACCTAGACCTGAAGTTGTCACCTTACAAAATCCTTGCGACTGGAGCAACTGCAGGAGCTGTCCAGTTCGTTCCATCCATGACCCTGCAGAGCATTGTCAACAAGTTCAAGGGCAACACTGTACTTAATTACCTCAAATCTAATAATCCTGATGACAAGGCATCTCTTGGTATTCGCAAAGAAGCCTTGGATGTGTTTATAAAATCGTGTGCAGGATATTGTGTGATTACATATCTTCTTGGTGTGGGCGATCGTCATCTGGACAATCTTCTTCTAGCACCAGATGGTCATTTCTTCCACGCAGATTTTGGCTTTATACTTGGTAGAGACCCTAAGCCATTTGCACCCGCGATGAAACTATGTAAGGAAATGGTAGACGGGATGGGAGGATCTATGTCGGAACATTATCCGCAATTCAAACAGTACTGCTTCACGGCTTACACAACATTACGGAAATCCTCAAATTTGATTCTCAATCTCTTCAGTCTGATGGTTGATGCCAATATCCCGGATATCAAAATTGAGCCTGACAAGGTTGTATTGAAAGTCAAAGAACGATTTCATTTAGAATTGAGCGAGGAGGATGCAATCAGGCATTTTGAAAGATTGATTGAGGATAGTGCGAATGCGATCTTTCCAGTCGTTATTGACAGGTTGCATGGTTTTGTGCAGCATTTCAGGTAGGAGTGATATCAGTCATCAAGGTCGAGCTGGAGTTTGGTGTCTATGAAGTATCGAATTTAGACCATAATCTACATTTAAGTACACTCGTCTGTGGTCTGCAAGCAATCTACATAAAGGCTATACATAATAACTCTACAGAACTCACAGATTACGGTTCTCTTAAGAAATCCTCTGCGTGCTTTGAAGTTCGAGAATGTTGTTTTGTAGGTAATGATGATCAGAAGTTGTGAAATGGCACTCACCTACTAAAAGTGTTACTGTTTTCTTCGGTGAAGAACTTAGTCTGATAACATGCCCATGGATCTGTTGATGTATGACATGTATTGATTTACACTTTCATTGATCACTGTCCTTGTAGATACTCATGCTTTTCCGACATCAAAATAGAAGTGCTAATCTAACTCAAAAAGCAAAAGAGTTTATTTTATCGTCGGCCAGTATGATACTTTTGATCCCTCTTACGACGAACCACACTAAAACACCCAACTTAGTCTATGGATGTTCGATTTGTGACAGGTCTTCAACCGTCTTATCTACACGCATTTTAATAAATCTACCTATAAGGTGAACACTTCGACCCATTGATTGTAGAGTGGGTACATCCTTGGAAAGGGCAAGGAGTTTCGTAGGAATATCACATTCGCTGAGACAATACATTGATCCTTGAAAACAGTCAATTTTATTCGTGAACAAGATTATCTGACCTGAGAACACTCAAGTTCAATACATAGGAGAATGGGAAGCTCATTCAAAACAAATCGGTCAAATGAAACCCGTCTACATAGTCAACGAGCTAAGTTCAAGGTTATGTATCATACGCTCGGCCCATCTTCCCGTGGTATCTTGCCCATCAAGTTCCCTGGTTATAACAACAAATTGAGAAAACTATTGCACATATGTCGGATTTCAAAGGGCTGATTTAGCTAATCCTTTGGTCTAACACTGATGCGTTTAGATGCACGACTTTTCTCGACTCAAGACTCTGAGTCCTCGACTTTGGTCTTTGGACTAGTCTCGAAAAAGTGTGGATTTTAGATTTGCTTATCCTAAAATTATATTGAGCTTAATATGGACGTGCGGATTTGACTGGCTGGGCTGGGATGTGATTTCACTGATATGAATGACAATATAATATCTAGGATCCGAATTCACATTTGTACCAAGGGTCTGACTGAAATGACAACGGTGGTTGTAGGGTAGAGGGTAGCTAGTTCCCGTCACGGCTGTCACAAAAACTCATTATTGATAGGTTAAGTGTGCCCTACTCTTATTTCGGAAAGGGCAGATAGCTAACTACATAATAGCTTTGTAGCTATGTAGCGCTTGCTTTTTCTCCGTCTTTTCTCTTCAGGTGTGTAGGTAGCATTTGACTTTTTGCATAAGCTCAAGAGGAAGACATAGAAAACCAAACGCTTTTCTCGCTATATGGGAAAGGAACTAGCTCGTATAAAATCGGCTGAAACGGAGAGATCAATCATCATCGAAGAATTTCAGTGCCTATTTTCGAAATGTCTTGCTATTGCGCAAACTACTATGTGAGTGACAGCATCCCAAACCTGCCAGACCTCCCCTCTCCTTGTACATGAACCACATATGAATACACCACATGCTGATATAACTGCCAGGGCTCCCTCAATTGCCAGAACATTGTTTTAAAATTTGGCGATCAGTGCAGTTCATGTCTTGTGAGCACAAGTCCCTTTTCACTCTTCAAGGATTCCCACATGGAGGACTAACCCTGCCCCAAGGCTCAATCTCCAAGTCATGATGAAACGTTTGAATGGAGTGATGCACTTCTAGGCCAGCAGTGGCTGCAGAACTCGAGTAAAGAACAGATGAGAAGAGATGAGGATAATTCTAAGAGAGGGAGAATTGGGAGGGCTGTAAAATGAAGCTGCTTGATGAGACAAAAGGTGTGAAGGAGGAAGAAAAAGTTGTAATGGTACGATTTCGTTGGATCTGTGAATGATCGGTAAAGGTGTGGTCATCAGAGGGTATACAGAAACGATGTGGGTGGATGGGTGGATCGGAAAACTAGGTATTGTGTTTGGGTGAGAAGTGCTCTTGGGGCTGAACTCAAATTTGCAGGAGGGATAACGACAATGGTCTTTGCTACTAGGGGGGTTAATGGATTATCTACAGGTCCCATTTCACGTTTTCCGAACCTAGGTGGGCAAAAGATTCAGTAAGTAAGAAAGAAAACAAACGAAACCAGTGAATGGATTATGGTTGAGCCAGTGTTCAATCAGTAATGTAATTGACCATAATGTGAGAGTGTTTTGACGGCCTCAGAAGAAAATGGTTCCTGGGTATAATATCTTCGAGATCCAAAACATAAACCGAACTCCCGGGAATGATCTTCGCCAATGTTACAGACTATTCTGCTTAGAAGAAGAGGGTTTATCTGATGGATCCACATCCATTCTCTCTCCCTCTTCCACTGCTTCCTCTCCAAATTCCTCCCCTGGACTGTCAGCGCTCTCTGACTCCGCGCCATTCTTTATCACCTCAATCTCGCCCTCACTCTCATCTAGTAAATCTTCGATATCTCCCAGTGGACTGACCCTTGGCTCCAGCACCTCTAAGTCTTCTAGTATCTCCCTCTTCGGCATCTTCCACAAAGTCGTCCCACACACCCTGTCCTTCGTCAACAAATCGTCCACGAACTGATCCATGAATGTCAACGTTGTTCCTGTCCTTGTCTTTCTCCTTAGCTTTCTCCTGTCTTCCAAATAACCTTCTAACATAGTGTATACATCTCTTGCCTGTCTCGTCATCCTCCAATAAAACAACGCTAACGCCCTCAGATACTTGAACTTCTCTCCACCGTACCCCATATATTCTTTCAGTATATCATCACTGGGGCCTAACTGTAGCAACTTAAAAGCAAGACATAGAAATGGCGAAGGTCGTTGCGAATCTCCATATGTGCCAGCGATGAATGTTACGTGAGAAACAACACGCGAAACGATATCAGCTTCATTGAGAGCAAAACATTGGTCTTTCCAGAAATAACAATCGACAATCCGCTCGCGCACAGGTTTCTCGAGGATGGTAGCAGGATTAAGACCGTTGGGGGCAAGAGGGCCAGTGTTGCCGCGTTCGTCGAGGAAGCGCTTTTCATCGGCGCGATGGGTAGCCATTTCAAATGAATAGAAGTTTTGATGCGATTCGTACTATGTTCTAGAAGCTGGAAAGAGGTAGAGAAGCTTCAAGATTTGATTCACAGTAATTGAGCAGAGTTTCAATTCACCTGGTAGTTTGTCTCCAAGTAATGTGTTGTTTAAAGATGGGCTCGAGAAGAAGTAGACGATGATGGTAATGAAGGTAGTTTTTCCTTATCACATTGACTGATAATTGATAGTGGATAGTTGCTATGTCAACCAGTCACTAATATTTTCAATCTTGCGTGAAACGAAACGAACCCAACGCATCATCGTGCGTAAGTATCAATCATGTGTATATACGTATAAGACTATATGAACATGGCACATGGTTGTATATAAATTCCGGAATTATATCAACTCCTCCACTATTTTCCACGACACGACACTACACTACACTACACTACACTACACCACACCACACCACACCACTTCAATCAATCATCTTCATCATATGCCGTGTTTGTAATCTCTATAAGAAATCTCGACTTGACAACTCGATTTTGAAATACCAAATCCAAACTTACGTCGCAAAAACATGCTCCTAACATCCGGGCAAGTTTCAGTCGCTATATCTTCCTTTATCGGTATGTGCGAGTAATTGTCTCTTCTCATGCATTCACCATGAAGCAATGAAGAATTGTTTCCTTTTGATAATGGCGATTCAAAGCTAATGAGCACCTATCAGTATTTTTCTTTACGACCGCACTCTTCCTCTCCGGTTATGTTCTCCAACAGCAAACAGTACGTGATTTAAGAGAAGCTATCAAACCCCAGTTTCAAGCAAAGTTGGTGGGGTTAGAGGTTCCAGATAATCTAAATATCAATGCGGATAGGAGCGGAAGGAAAGGTCGGATCGAGGTATTTTTGCCCAAAAAGTTCGAGAATGAAGCGGTGCGAGAAGGAAACAGGAAAGCGGAAGAGAGCGATAAAGTGATTGGGAAAAATGGAAGAAACAAAAAGGCGACGGGGGAGGAGAATGAAGAGTGGAGTGCGGTCGAGCTTGAGGGGAGTGTCGAAGTCGAGGGTGAGGAGGAGGGTGCTGGATTGGTGGATAATACAGAGGGTATCAATAAGGGGAGAGGGGGAGGAATTGCAGTTCCAGAAACACCGCTAAGTCGTGCAGAAAGGAGAAGGAGGATCAAAGAAGAGCTCGTGACATCAGGAGAAGGGGAAACCTTTAATGGGTATCGAAGACGTGTTCCGGGCGCTTAACTTCGAATTGCAGTTTGGGCGTATCAGTACAAAGGTATTGAAAATATTAAGATGGGATGTATCATACAGATCTGGAGTTTGGAAGGGTTGAATTGGACTAATTCAGGGCGGATATACCATGTAAGCAAAAAGGATATATATCTTCATTGTATCCATTATACTAAGATGAACATACGTTGTTAGGGAGAAATATGAAAGGTGCGAGTGAATCAATATATATATATAAGCTAAGTCTATGTGATAAATGACTCTATATCTCTATCATACCTAAAAGAACAATCCCTTGAACAACGTAACGAAAGATTAGTTAGTTACAATCAAATTTTATCGGCTTTGGATTGTGAATAACGTTTTCAAATGCGTATATTAAAATGATGCAAGATCTATAAAAAAGGAGTTGACATTGAATGTAGATCAAACTGAATAATTGAATACAAAGGATTTATCAAGAAAATTGCTGGAAAATAAACTTGCTTTATAAATTGAGATTTTCCGAATGATTGAATCCGTATGATATTAAGATGATGTGAATTCAAAGAATTTATTAAGAATAGATGAGAATTTGTTTTTCTATCTGTTTATCATTAAACCAATAAGAATGATAAATTAATACAAAAACGAGATTAGAATTAGTAGTCAAATGTTTAAATATTTTTTAAAACAACAAGTTAAAAGAGAAAGATTAGATTTTTACTGTTTTAAATTATTTTAAACTATTTCGAGCTATAAGATTACTAAATGGTTTAAAATTTTTGATTATGATTTTCTTTCGATTAAATTTGAGTAGGAGTTACTCGAATCGATTTACTTAAATCGTTTGCCAAATGAAATTAAATGTTATGTTTGTTAGATAATTTTTATTATATAAAAAACCCTTTGGAAATTATATAATTAATAACTGTATTTATGAATTACTTATGATTCTGAGATATTTATTATATATTATTTGATTGAGTGAGTTCATTTGAACGATAAAGACTCTAAATAGTAATCTTTTATGTATTAACATCTCAAATATTGAAAATATCATTTAGGTTTTAGTATACTAATTCAAATAATTTTATTCTTGGAAATTTAATATTGTTATTCTAACACAATAATAATGTTTTGATTCAAATTACAAAAAGTTCGGATTTTTTCAACTTTTTCAATATCTCAAAAGATGACAAAATTTTAATTTTTTCATCTTTACAAAAGGATTAACCACCCAAAGATGGAAACGAAGATATTAAAAAATATCACTTGAAGTCGAAATCGAAATATTAATATTTGAAGAGAATAAGGGATTGAAATATCAGAAATACTAACAGTCGGGGAAAAAGAATTTGGAGTCTACGAATTTGTACGATTTCAAAATTATTGTAATAATTAGAAAGAAAAGAGAAAAAGAAATGCTCGGACTGGAAATCCTTTTCCCCGATGGCTAGTTTAAATAGGTGGTCGATTATATTATTTTAAAATTTATTTATATAAAGGTCTATGATTTTCATTTATTTTATTAGCAAACTTGAGTTTTCTTAAGGAACTTCGATTTTCCAAATTTCAACTTTATATCTTATAATAAATTAAATTATTAAAAATGTTTTACTAATTTTGTAATCCAAAAAGATCAACGATTAATTGAATTTTATAGTTTCTATAATAATATTTAAGTTCAATTGTAGCAAAATTGTACATATATTCTAGGAATTTGGATGTAATTTTGAAAAATGATTAGTAGTAGTCTAAAATAACTATAATCTCTTTGTTAATCGGAACAATTCTATTCTACTATTAGTAGTGATTTATGATCAATTAGAAGGCTCTTATAAATGTATTAAAGTATATAAGACTTTGATTAACTTTTATGAATCTGTTATTCAGAATATGTTAATAATAAGTTTTTATATTTAAAATATTTTACATTATATATAAAATTTTACTATATAGGATTATCATTATTCTTATTATTTTGAGATAGTCTTTGGGTGTTTTTACGTATTTATCAAAAATCTGTTATACTAGTAAAGTAAACGAATGTTAAAATTATCTTATGTTATCATGAAAACGTACTTAAATTGAGCCTTTTTCAATATTTTTATTTCAATAAAAATTGTTCAATTTTACCTGAGGTTTGTTTCCGGAAAATAATATACATGAAATTTTTATAAATTCAAATTTCGAATTGATATTTTAGCTATAGCTTCGAACTGCTATATTATACGTTACAAATATATTTCTCTTGAATAACTCTTGTATATTAACAAAAATTTCAAAGAGAATGAAAGATTAATATTCATTTTATACTTGAAATTATAGATTCACCTTCAAAGAATTAGTTATTAAAAAAGGTATTTTCAGATTCTAAACTCGTAGAATTTATTTTTCTTTGGGATTATAATAATAATTTCGGATTTCCTATAAATTTTTAGATTATTTTTGTTGGATGACTAGTATTAACATAACATATAAAGTTCAATTTACATTTAATATTTAATGTGTGATATTTTGATATTTAATATGTAATATTTAGTGGGTAATATTTAATAGAAAATAAATATAAGATGCAACTCTTAAGCTTTTGATTCTCACTTTATAATAAGAATTTAAACAAAAGAATAGATAAGATTATAAAGAAGATTAGATTGAAGTAATGATTTTATTCTTTCATAGTTCTATCGATATAATAAGGACTAGTTTGGATATACAAATCCATATTAAATCCACTAAATATTCCATACTTTTTGAAAACGGATTTTGAATTTATATTTGAATATTAAATTATGAATTCTATTGAATAATTTGTATTTTAATAAATTTAATATATTTTGAAATAAAAAAAATAGATTATTCTAGAATGATATTAAATAATCTATATTTTTTAATAAATTTATATAGAAGAATAAAAATATAAATTAAAAATAAGAATTAGAAAAAACTGATTTTATTAAATTTATTAAAATAAATTTTTTTTTTATAAATTTTTATAAATTTTAAAATCTAAAGCTTTAATATATAAAATCTGAAATTATAATGAATAAAACTTAAAATTATAGATTTATTTTGAATTAAAGTTTATAATTATAATTTTAGATTTTATATATTAAAACTTTAGATTTTAAAATCTATAAAAATCTATAAAAAGAATAAATTATTTCAATAAATTTAATAAAACTAGTTTTTTCTAATTCTTATTTTTAATTTATATTTTCATTTTTTTATATAAATTTATTAAAAAATATGGATTATTTAGTATTATTTTAAAATAATTTATTTCTTTTTTATTTCAAAATATATTAAATTTATTAAAATACAAATCATTTAATAGAATTCATAATTTAATATTCAAATATAAATTCAAAATTCATTTTCAAAAAATACGGAATATTCAGCAGATTCAGTATGGATTTGTACATCCAAACTAGCCCTAAGTCGACCACTCTACTTTCAGGCCACCCCTGTTTTGGGCCACCCGTTTACACCAAAAATCACTTTTTGGCTTATCAATATGTCTATCAATATTGAATATAATTTAATAAAATTTTATATTTATATAAATCAAGCTATTTTCAATTTATATCACAGTTTTGAGAATTTTAGGATTTTTCTGAATTGAAATTTGAAGCTCCAAAAATATTGATTTTCGAATTTGTATAAAAATTATATACAAATTTAAAACTTTTATAAAATCTTGAATAACTTTTTAATAACAATTATTAAGAGAAAATTTTATATCTTTTTGAAGATTTCAAATTTGAATTTATATACAAGTTCAAAAAGATTTCCAAAAAAAAATTAGATAGAGAAATATAATGTATAATAAGTTTAAAATAGTATAAATAATCTCTATAATTTCAAGGACATTCTTTCAAATACTTAATAATAAAGATATTTTTTTAAAAATTTCTAAAAAGAATATATTATAAATTTATAGTGAAATTTTTAGAATAGAATTGAAATAATTTGAATTATATATATGTAGATTTTTATGAAATTATATCCTATATTAATAGAGAAATTGATAAATCGAAAAAGTGATTTTTAGTGTAAAAGGGTGGCCCAAAAGAGGGAGTGGCCCGAAAGTGAGGTATCCGACTTAGTATTAATGAACTTTTCAATGATTCGATTCGATGGTTTAAATTTAAGCAAAGTCTTTCTTGAAAAATTGTATAGATTCTGATTTAGTTTCCGAATATAATATTAGAAACGTTGGATATTAATTGGTTCTTAGGTATTCGGATTTATACTTACGAATATACTCTCAAATATATTCCTGAAAAATGCAATAACTATTTCAATCTGATTTATTGATATCTTATTGTTATAAACATTGTTTTAAAATTGACTAAATATTCTAAAAAATCTTCGTCATTTTGATTTCACAACTACCTTTTCAATAATTATATGACTTAAATTGAATTTATGTACTAAATCAGTAAAAGCAAACAAATTTTTTAGGGTTTATTTAGAATGTTTCAGTTTTGAACAGTTCAAATTTTCTTCTATCACATATCATCAATAAGAAAAGGTCTTGAAATTATATATTATAAAAGTAACTCTAGTTATAAGAATGCATTCTGTTTATACGATGTAATACCTACAAATCAAATTTTGTTAATTTTCCGAATCCATTAATATAGCTTTAGTTATAAATAGGTTGAATTGATTATAAAACTTTTACTATTACTGGTTAATATCTATATATGATAACCCTTAAGATATTCAAACAATGATGTCATAAATAAGCAACAAAATAGATCATTAATATAAGTTTTTTATGAAAACTCTATACGTGACATTAAATCCAGTTCAAAATATGATTCGTACTTTTAAAATTGTTTTCATACATAGACTTTTATCAAACGATATAATAAATCCAATAAAACAATTCAGTAATTTTATTCTATAAAAACTGGGAAGGGGATTATAGTAACAAAATTTTACTAGAGTTTGATTTAATTTATTAATGTTTACATGGACTGCCACTCATTAATTCATTATACAAAAATGGTATGCCTATAAATTATTGCAAATTTGAGTATACAACTATTGATTTAAATTATATTCATCAATTTAGAGAAAACTTGCATATATTATATTATTTTAAGAAAAATCAAAAATTCTTTCGTAAATACTGATTTCAATCATATATTCTTCTCTTTTCTAATAGAGAGAATCTGAGATGTCTATTCATATTCATATAAATATTACTTCAATTGATCGAATTCCTTGAATTTATTGGAATCTATTGTATCATTTATTTCGAATAATAAGTTTTCATTTGAAAGGGAATTATTGTATCAATATTCTTTTTTTCTTTACTACTTTATTACTTTGGTCTCGTTGATTAATGGTTCTCAGT